GGGGGGGGGCGGGGCTGGGGCCACAGAGTGCAGGCTCCTGTGGGCCGGGGGTGGTTGGAGCCCCGAGGGGGTCAGAGGAGGGGGCTAGTTCCCCCGGGACCCAGCAGAGTCCGTGCCAAGAGCTGGCAGGTCCTGGCCACGCCCAGCCGCCTTCGAGGTTCTTGGCCTGGGCACCTGGCACAGCAGCAGAGGCTCTGGGAGGGCTGCTTTGTCAGTCGCTCTGGGGGCCGCTGTCTCTCCGCTGGCAAGGCCAGAACGGGGCATTGGACTCAAGAGTCCCCCACAGCACCAGGTAGGTTTCCCTGGGTTGGCCACAGGCACTCAGACACCCTGTAGTCTTGGCCCAGGAGGCTGTGCCCTGGCAGTAGAGGTGCCCCAGCCCTGAGACTCCAGGCACACGAGGCCTCAGTCCCTGGTCTGCCCACAAAAGCTCGGACTCCAGCAGCTGCGGCCCTCAACCGAGCCCTGACTCCATGCCAGACTGAGGTCAGCCCTTCATGGGCACCTGTCCCCATCCTACAGAGAGGAAATAAGGCCTGGAAAGGCTGCACCACAATCGCCAGGTGAGAGGTGGTAGCCCAAGGATATTCAGATCACAGCCTGTTGGAGAGGCCGGTTTGGCCCCAGGAAGCCCTGTGACACGAGGTCAGGCCAAGTCTGCCCACGGGCCCCGAGCCCAGGGACAGGAGGCTGTCACCCAAGGGAGGGGTGGGTATGCTCCCAGGGTGGGGAAAGCGAGCAGGCGCCGCCCGCTGCCCTGCCGCCAAGCACTCTCTGGGCTCCCGGTGCTCAGGCTGCAGCCCAGGTCCCGTTTGCTTGAGCACCATCCACTCTCCCTGAGCCAAGAGCCTGCCCACGTGGGCCAGTGGCAGTGGCGGGAGGTTCCAAGTGCTCTGTCCCAAGCTGGCTGATTTGTAGCTGCAGCTAGGGTTCTCTGTTTGGGTCTGTGGGGCCCCAGGGACCTGAAGCAGATTCTTCACGGTTTAAACACCTATAAGAAACGTTTGTTTTCACTTTGATTTTGCTCTGAAACGGACTCCCCTTACCAGTTATAACGACGGAAATATTTTGCGGTAACTAGAAACGAAAAGGTTTTCACGCGTCAGACGTGTCTGTGTTCTTCACGCTGAGGTTCACGGAACCCTGTGTCCTCAGACAACTGCTTCCTTTAAAAAAGACTCTTGTTTGTATTTGGGACTTGGGTCCAGAGGCACCCCTCAGGCAGGGAGGCGCAGCAGAGGCAGAGCCTTACAGGAGCGGGTCTGTCCTGAGCCTGGAGGCACGTGGTCGGCCCGTCTTGTCTGTCCGTGGTCTGGGGCAGCCTGGCCCAGATGGCTCCCGTCCTGCTGCTGCTTCCCTTGGCCTGGGCCAGGAAAGATGCGCACACGTTTCAGACCCTCCCTGGGTGGGGTCTCCTCCCCACTCCCTCTCCCCCCTCCTCCCTTTACCTCCAGCCACCCCCGCCCCCTGCACACCGTATCTGGAAAGACCTGTGGCCTGAGGTCTTTGCCCTCGGATTGCTGGCCCTGCCACCCTCCATGACCACCAGCTAGAACTTCTGCTTTCAGGGGTGAGGTTTTAGAAAGCCCCCTCCCTTGAGAAAGGAGACCAGTCCTCCTGTCACCTTCAGCCCTCAGGCAGAGTCACCATGTGGTCCTTCCCCAGCATTGCCCTCCCAGCAAAACCCAGGCTCAGGGCACAGGGCATCCCCTCCACACTCGTGCCCCTCCCAAGTGAGCCAGGCCCTGGGCCTCCCTCTCCCTGACCCCCACCCAGGCAGCCTTCCACCGAGCAGGCATGAGGTCCTGTGGGCTAAGGCCTCTCCCTGGGCTGCCCAGGGCCTCTGGCTGGAAGCCGGGCTGCAAGAGAGCTGGGCCTGCTGTCCGGCCCCCTCCAAAGCTCCCTTCTCCGGTGCTGGCTCAAGGCGATGGGTGCCGAGTGCCTGCAGGCGTGCAGCACATGGAGGCCACCCTTCTCAGGGGGCCTCCCCAGGCCCTGCCCTATCCTGCCTGCGACTCCCTTGGGGGAATAGACCTCATCCCCAGCCTGACCTTCCTGGCCGGGGGGAGGGCTGGGCAGGCTGGCAGAGGGCTTCCCTCTTCAGCCTGGCTCCTCCGGAGGGGAGGGCGGTGCCCCCTTGCCTCTTCACATGAGTGCACTTCTGAAGGGCGGCCCAGGAGTGTAAGGACCCACTGCCTGGGCAGGGTGAGCAGCAGGCAGGAGGCTGGCCAGGCCTGGGCGCCAGGTTCTTGCAGGAGCCGCCTCTCCTCACCCCTCTTGCTGCTTCCTCCTCAGTCACTGGTTGGCCTGCAGCCTCTGCTCCCACTCATCCATGCCAAGCCAACTGGCACCATTCTTTTCCAGGAGTGGCAATAAGCACATACGCCAAGTACTGTTACCACAAGCTGCAGAGGGCAGCCCTGACTGGAGCCAAGAAGGTACGAGCTTCCCCCAGAACCGCCGGGCAGAGGTGGGCGGGCGGCCTGCGCCGGTGACGCCCAGACAGAGTCCAGCGGGAGGCGGGGCGGGGGGGCTCACGGTGCGGAGGGTGCCACTTGGAGCTTCTGATGCCGTAGGTGGCCCAGCAGGAGGCGCCTCTGGTGACTCAGGGGCCAGGGCGTTGGGGGTCCCCGGCTCGGGGCCTGGGGCTCACAGGGACGAGAGGACAGGAGGAGAGAGGGCGGGTGAGCCAGGGGCAGCCCTTGCAGGGGTGTAGGGGCAGGGAGGGCTGGGAGCTGGGCGCCAGGCCACGCTGGGACAGAGCTGGGCCGCCTTCGCAGGGGCTGAGGAAGCCCAGCGTGGAGGAGGTCCGGCACGCCAAGAACGCCGTGCTCAGCCCGTCCATGTTCGGCAGCGCGCTGCAGGAGGTCATGAGCATGCAGAAGGAGCGCTTCCCCGACCGGCAGCTGCCCTGGGTACAGACCCGGCTGTCGGAGGAGGTGCTCGCACTCAACGGTGACCAGACGGAAGGCATCTTCAGGTGCCCTGCGACCTGGGCCCTGGGTGTGGGGGCTTGAGTGTCTACGCCGCGTGTCTTGGGGCCACTGGGCCCCGGGCCCCTGCCTCAGAGCAGCCAGAGAAGCTCCCTGAGAGGCCAGCATGCAGGCAGGAAGGGCAGCTTGGAGCAAACAGAAGGGCCAGGCGCTCTGCGGCCAGGAGGGTAGGGAGGGCCCCATCTTTAGGAGGTGGGCCAGCAGGGCTCTCCCTCCTGAATGGCAGCACACCGGAACCCAGACAGGAGAGCTAGCCAGGGACAGTGCCCTTGCAGAAATGGCCAGCAGGGGCCCAGAGAGTACTTGGACACCAACCATGGGCAGGCAAACGGCCCTCACCTGTGCGTGGAAATGATGGCCCTGTCCCGTGGAGGGTGGCACATGGCCAGTCACCTGCTGTCATGACTCACCTACCCAGGCAGGACCCGGGACAGGTGGGGAAACAGGCTTATGGGTTTGGGCCTCACGGACCATTCTGAGGAAGGGATCTGCCTGGGGGCAGTCAGCAGAGGGATGAGGGATGGGGGCCGGAGGCCTGGGACAGGGGACCCCAGCCACACCTCCCTCTGGTAGGAAAGAGGCCATTTGGGCAGAGAGGGGTCAGGCAGCCCTGACCCTGAGCAAGCCCAGCTCCTCCTCCCTGAGACCTGCCCTGTGCTTGGCAGAGTCCCTGGGGACATTGATGAGGTGAATGCCCTGAAGCTACAGGTGGACCAGTGGAAGGTGCCTACAGGCCTGGAGGACCCCCACGTCCCAGGTAAGCCCCCAGTCCCCTCAGCAGCAGGAGCAGCTCGGACGGTTCAGCCCTCCCTGCTTTCCGTCGTGAAGGGACAGCCCTCTGGTCCATTTCCAGCACAGACGTCCCCCTGCCGTTGGACAGCCTCCGCGGCGCCTCCCTCCGCTTGCCTGCGCACGGTGGCTTGCACAGCCTCTCATGGTTCCCGGCGCTCGGGGTCAGTCCAGGCCCTCAGGACCAGGAGCCCGCAGGCCTCCGGCCGCGCAGTCCACACGGCTGGGTGGACACCTCCCGTCCGGTCCTGGCCCCTCGCCCCCACTTCCGAAACACACGGCCGCTTTCGCCCCTTGCTGCTGGTGGGGCGGGTCCCCGGCTGCCCCGCCCAGCCGAAACCCCCGCGTTGCGTCCCCAGCGTCGCTGCTGAAGCTGTGGTACCGGGAGCTGGAGGAGCCTCTGATCCCCCACGAGTTCTACGAGCAGTGCATCGCGCACTACGAGAGCCCTGAGGCCGCCGTGGCCGTAGTGCACGCGCTGCCCCGCATCAACCGCCTGGTGCTCTGCTACCTCATCCGTTTCCTCCAGGTAGGCGGTGCCGCCCCTCCGCGCCCCGCCCCTCCGCGCCCCGCCCCGGCCCACCCGCAGCTCCCCGCTCCCCGCGCAGGTGTTCGTGCAGCCCGCCAATGTGGCCATCACCAAGATGGACGTCAGCAACCTGGCCATGGTGATGGCGCCCAACTGCCTGCGCTGCCGCTCGGACGACCCGCGCATCATCTTTGAGAACACTCGCAAGGAGATGTCCTTCCTGCGCGTGCTCATCCAGCACCTGGACACCACCTTCATGGAGGGCGTGCTGTAGCGCGTGGGCACCGAGGGACCGAGGGTGGGGACAGAGCCTGCCCGGGTGCGCCCGGGCAGGGGGCACGCGGGGAGGGGGGGAGGGGACGCCCGAGAAGCGGAGGTAGCATGCCGGCTCCGCCCATGCCCGCCCCAGCCCTGGAACCCGCATCCCCCGACCCGGGCCCTCGGCCTGAAGGCGCGCAGCCAAGGCAGAGGGGCTGCGGGAAGGGCGCCTCTGCCCCGCCCCAGGCCTCGTGGCCGTGTCGTTCGGCGCTGCCCCGCCCACCGCCAGCCGCGGTTCGGCCGCGAGAAAGTGCCTTCTGTTTCCTGGAGCCAAGTGACACTGCCCCTCCCGGCCGGCCCGAGAGCACAAGCCGCCGTTGCTGGGGCTGCTGCGCTCAGCTTGGCCCCGGCCCAGCCCGGCTGCCCATCTTGCTCTTCCTCTGCCCTCCCCCTGACCTGGCGGGGGGGTGGGGGTGGTGGTGGTGTCTCCTGATCCGCGACTTCCGCCCTCCTCAGTCCCTTCCCGCCCCCTCCCCCTGCCACTTGCGGCCTCCAGCGTGGTGACTGCACAGGAGTTTGGGGGCTCCAGGGCTCTGGGCTTTTCACCACCAGAGCAGAACCTGGCAGAACCTGGCTGGTGCTGGGCCCGATAGGCTCTCTCTGGGTAGAAAGGGGCCCCCAAGCCAAAGTCCTCTGGGGTGGGGGGCAGGGTTGGGCAGGCATTCTTGGGGCAGGGTGGGGGAGGGGCAAGAGGATTTTTTCTTCGTGTAACTATAAATTCAGAATCTATCCCGCATCCCAACCCGCCTGTGTATAGAGATATAAATAGACCGAAAGATATAAGAACTAAATTTGCTAATGACATAGTCTTAACCCAAATGTTATTTATTTGAGTCCTCTCCCGTCCTCTGCAGACAAGTTGAGATCATTCCTTCATTTTTTTCTCCACCCTCTTGGCTTCTGACCAAAAATCAAACCCTGCCCCATCCCCATCCAGGACCTGCAGCAGATGAGAGGGAAGGAGCCCTGAACTGGGGGACCAGAGGGGCACCGGCGACTGCCCTTCCTCGAGGCCAGAGCCGGGGCGGGGGGTAGGGTGGGTGGGTGGAGGGGAGTTATCTAGGCTCTCAGTTTGTACATTTTCCAATTTGTAATTTTGAGTTCCAATTGTGGTAAAACTTAATTTCTCCCCGGTTTTTAATATATATATATATATATATATATATATATATTTAGAATTGAGTTTTTATTTATTATTAAGAACAAAAGAACCCAGTCCTGCCGAGGCCTGGTGTCCACTGGGGGAGCGTCCTCAGTCCGGGGGTCTCGGGGCCTGGGTAGGGACGGCCCGGCCACAGGCTCTCGCTCTGATGCACGGACTCGAGAGATGACAACACTTTGTGTGAATAAAGTACGTATGGACACTTGCGAGCCTGTCGCATCCCATTCCTTCCAGTTGCGGCGGGGCAGCTATCAGCGGCCAATCGGTTGCTGGTGTGGGCACCAGGGTGGAAGCCAGGCCAAGGGAGAATGAATGGGGGCAGCAGGGGGTTGGGGGGAGCCCCAGCCCTGGAACCCGCATCCCCCGACCCGGGCCCTCGGCCTGAAGGCGCGCAGCCAAGGCAGAGGGGCTGCGGGAAGGGCGCCTCTGCCCCGCCCCAGGCCTCGTGGCCGTGTCGTTCGGCGCTGCCCCGCCCACCGCCAGCCGCGGTTCGGCCGCGAGAAAGTGCCTTCTGTTTCCTGGAGCCAAGTGACACTGCCCCTCCCGGCCGGCCCGAGAGCACAAGCCGCCGTTGCTGGGGCTGCTGCGCTCAGCTTGGCCCCGGCCCAGCCCGGCTGCCCATCTTGCTCTTCCTCTGCCCTCCCCCTGACCTGGCGGGGGGGTGGGGGTGGTGGTGGTGTCTCCTGATCCGCGACTTCCGCCCTCCTCAGTCCCTTCCCGCCCCCTCCCCCTGCCACTTGCGGCCTCCAGCGTGGTGACTGCACAGGAGTTTGGGGGCTCCAGGGCTCTGGGCTTTTCACCACCAGAGCAGAACCTGGCAGAACCTGGCTGGTGCTGGGCCCGATAGGCTCTCTCTGGGTAGAAAGGGGCCCCCAAGCCAAAGTCCTCTGGGGTGGGGGGCAGGGTTGGGCAGGCATTCTTGGGGCAGGGTGGGGGAGGGGCAAGAGTATTTTTTCTTCGTGTAACTATAAATTCAGAATCTATCCCGCATCCCAACCCGCCTGTGTATAGAGATATAAATAGACCGAAAGATATAAGAACTAAATTTGCTAATGACATAGTCTTAACCCAAATGTTATTTATTTGAGTCCTCTCCCGTCCTCTGCAGACAAGTTGAGATCATTCCTTCATTTTTTTCTCCACCCTCTTGGCTTCTGACCAAAAATCAAACCCTGCCCCATCCCCATCCAGGACCTGCAGCAGATGAGAGGGAAGGAGCCCTGAACTGGGGGACCAGAGGGGCACCGGCGACTGCCCTTCCTCGAGGCCAGAGCCGGGGCGGGGGGTAGGGTGGGTGGGTGGAGGGGAGTTATCTAGGCTCTCAGTTTGTACATTTTCCAATTTGTAATTTTGAGTTCCAATTGTGGTAAAACTTAATTTCTCCCCGGTTTTTAATATATATATATATATATATATATATATATATTTAGAATTGAGTTTTTATTTATTATTAAGAACAAAAGAACCCAGTCCTGCCGAGGCCTGGTGTCCACTGGGGGAGCGTCCTCAGTCCGGGGGTCTCGGGGCCTGGGTAGGGACGGCCCGGCCACAGGCTCTCGCTCTGATGCACGGACTCGAGAGATGACAACACTTTGTGTGAATAAAGTACGTATGGACACTTGCGAGCCTGTCGCATCCCATTCCTTCCAGTTGCGGCGGGGCAGCTATCAGCGGCCAATCGGTTGCTGGTGTGGGCACCAGGGTGGAAGCCAGGCCAAGGGAGAATGAATGGGGGCAGCAGGGGGTTGGGGGGAGAGCAAGGCAGCTTCCCGGGAACGGAGACGAGACTCCAGGTAGGCGCGCAAGCTGCGAGGCACCTGGGGTATCACAACTGAGCCCGAAAGCCCTGCTTGATTGGGAGGGGGGCTTTTTCTGAGCTACCTTGCCTACAAGCTGGCATAGGCTTCTAGACAGTGTTTATTCACCACCTCTCCGTTCAGCACCCAGCTGGACAGGCAGATTGCCCCACCGGGGTGGGGGGCTTCCTAGGGGTTGGGGGAAGAGACAAGGCGGGTACCTCGCCCACGTGAGAGCAACCAGCCTCCGAGGGCGGAGGGACAGGGCCCGCATGCCCGGCAGCGCCCCGTCCCCAGCCCGTATCCCTGTTCCCGAAATCGCCCGCACCCGCGTCTCACACCCGAACCCCACCGTCGGGAGGCCCCGCCCGCCCCCCCTTTCCCAGCCGGACGGCAGGGCGGCGCGCCCCTAAATCCCAGAGAAGGAAGTGTCGGGACCGCCCGGGGTCCGGGGAACAAGCAAAGCCCGGGGGGTGGGGAGGAGGGTGGGGAGGAGGGCGGGGGGGGGGGGGGGACGAGCTCCGCGGCCGCCGCCGGAACCCAAAGCGCGAGGTCGCCGCTACCAGGGGACTTACGTTAGCGCAGCACCGCCCCCGCGTGACCCTCTGGCCGCTTCCGGCGCGGAAGGACGATGTGGGCGACGCGCGGAGTGCTGCGGACCTGGGCCCTCGGCTTGTCGCGGTCCCCGGGAACCCGGGCCTACGGTGGGGGCGGGGGCGTCTCCTACACGCAGGGCCAGAGCCCAGAGCCGCGGACGCGCGAGTACTTTTACTACGTGGATCATCAGGGCCAGGTGGGCGGGGCCGGGGCCTGAGGGAGACTCCCGTGAGAGGCGGGGCCTGGTGCCGGGTTTCTGCGGGTCGGGGCCTGAGGGAGGACCCTGTGAGGGGCGGGGCCTGAGTAGGCGGGGTCTTTAAAGTAAGGGTACCCGACCTCCGCAGTCGCGCTGGACAGACTGGGGCGCCCGGCCCCGGCCCCAGAGGGTTAGGTCCGAGCGGCCCACCTCCCACACGTGGTTACGCCCTGCGCGCTTCGCATCCCCAGACCCTGCGGCCCCCAGCTCGGGGCCGCCCCGCCTGCTTTGGAAGCCCTGGCGGGGGCATCCGCCACATACAGGAGGAAGCAAATCAGATAGCCTCCGCGGAGGAGGGGCACATCTCATTAGAAACTTGAAAGGGGGAGGGAAGAGGCGCGGGAAAGGCATGCCAACCCAGAGGACCTGTGCCTGCGGAAGCAAGGCCGGGGCTGCGGGGTAGATGTGGAGAAGTCTGCAGGGCCCCCAGGCTTACCTTCCACGCGCCTCCCTGCACATGGTGTGCACAGACGAGCAAAGAAAGCGGACACTGGCCCGGGCTCAGGCCCGCCCAGGCCTTCTCTCCCTGGGGCCGGCTCTGTCGGGCTTCCCCCGGGACTCAAGGGCCACCGTCTGCCTCTCTACAGCTTTTCCTGGATGACTCCAAAATGAAGAACTTCATTACCTGCTTCAAAGGTACTGATGCGCCCTCCTCCCCCACCTTCCCTCTTCCTTCGGGGAAGGCCCTGAAGGGCTCCGCTGCCCAACCACACCAAGGGCACTGGCCGTCCTGCGCTCAAAAGCCCCCTATCTAGAGTGAGGCCTGGGAGGCTGTCCGACCGCCGGCGTCTGCCCTTGGCGTGACCCAGGGCGAGCCCCCAGCCTGGGGCAGTAGGGCCCAGGGAGCCTCGGGGCCCGGCATGCTGAGCGGTCTCGGCCTCCCCGCCCCCCACAGACCCGCAGTTCCTGGTCATCTTCTTCTCCCGCCTGAGGCCCAACCGCAGCGGGCGCTACGAGGCCTCCTTCCCCTTCCTCTCGCCCTGCGGCAGAGAGCGCAACTACCTACGCTGCGAGGACCGTCCCGTGGTCTTCACGCACCTGCTGGCCGCTGGCCCGAAGCCCCCGCGCCTCTCCTACTGCGGCGGCGGCGAGGCCCTGGCCGTGCCCTTCGAGCCAGCGCGCCTACTGCCCCTGGCCTCCAATGGGCGTCTCTACCACCCGGCGCCGGAGCGCGCGGGCGGCGTGGGCCTGGTGCGATCGGCTCTGGCCTTCGAGCTCAGCGCCTGCTTCGAGTACGCGCCCGGCGCGCCCGAGCTGCCCTCGCACGTGCGCTGGCAGGGCAGCCGTTTCGCCCTCACCATGGACCTGGCCCCGCTGCTGCTCGCCACCCCGCCGCCCTGAGCAGCGGGCTCGCGGCCGCTGGCGCCCCCAGCCCCGCTGCGCCCCCCGGGCTGCGTCGCTGCGCACGCGCCACCCAGAGAGAGAGAGAGAGAGAGAGAGAGAGAGTGCTGTCCGAGTGCGCGTGCGCGGCGGAGGTGCGCCGCGGCCCCGCCCCGCCCGGCGCTGTCCGAGGTGCTGCCGCGGCCCGAGAACCGACGCGGGGAGGGGCGGGGTCACGGGTGCTCTACCCTGTCCGCACACCCCCGGCCTGGGGCGTCCTCGGCGTCCTCGGGTTCGGCCAGCGCTCGCGACGGCAGACCCGGGCGGCCGGGAGGGAGGTGCGGGGGCTCCAGTGCGCGAGCGCGAGCGGCGCCCGCCCCTCCCCCGCCCGGCGCTGCTCTGTGGGCCGGGGTTCGGCGGGGGAGCC